GAGCCCCTGTCTGCCCCCCCCCAGCCCATCTCCCTCCCCTGCGGGCGGGGGCTGCAGGGACCTCCCACTTGCCCCATCCCTGGTGCTGGAGCCTGATGGATGGATGCTCCTGGGAGGCATGAGACCTGCCAAACTCATCACACCCCGTCCTGCTCCAGGTGCTGCAGGGCCAGGCGGGGGGTGCGTGGGGGGGTGGTATCCATCCCCCTCCTCACCGCCCAGGCTGCGCTGCCAGCAGCTGCTGCTCGCTATGGCAACCATCTCCATCACTCTGGTTGCCGTGGCCACCCATCCCCAAAAATGACACGCATGCATGGGGGGGCGCCCCCAAGCACATGCATGACCCCCAGCAGCAGGAGCTGACCCTGGCTGCATCCCAGGCATCGTGCCTGAGGCTGTGGGGGCAGAGGGGCTGGGGCTCAGGGGCTGGGGGGGACACAGAGGCCCCCCGGGCCCGAGAGGAGAGCCCCTGAGCTGAACCCCCCGGCCTGCCCAGCCCGTTGCGATGGGGTGAAAGGAAGGGGGTGTGCTGGGGGCAGGGCTGGGGCTGGAGGGGCACACTGTGGGGATGGGGGTGTTTCATGGGGGGCTTCTGCCCAGGAACCCCCTGTTTGCCCCTGGGCTCCCCTATGACCTGGGGTGTCTGGGAAGGGGTGTGTGTACATGGGGTGCTTGTTTTTCAGGGACGTAGAGACCCAGAGTGATGATGCTGGGGAGTTGAGACCCAAAACATTCAGATCTGGGATGCTGAGACCCAGAGTTTCGGAGACCAGGTCTGGTGAGACCCAGGGTGCTGAGATCTGGGATTTGAGAGACCTGGGATGTAGGAGACCCAGGATGTGGGAGATCCTGAATTTTGGAGAACAGGCATGTGAGAACCCAGGATGTTAGACACACGGGATGTTGGAGACCTGGGCTGTTGAGACCTGAGATGTAGGACATCTGGGCTGTTGAGACCCAGAATTTTGGAGACCTGGGATGCCGGAGACCTGAGATGTGGAAAACCGGAATGCTGAGCCTGGGATGTTGGAGACGTGGTATGTGGAGATCAGAGATTTTGGAGACCCAAGATGCTGGAGGCTGGGATATGGAGACCTGAGATGTAGGAGACCCAGGATGCGGGATATCCAGGATAGGGAGACTTGGGATATGAAGACCTGGGATATGAAGACCTGGGA